CCCTGTCCAGCTTGGGCAACTGCTCCATTGTCTGGAGTCCCCTGGCCCAGGTGACACAGCTGAGCCAACCAGCCCTTTTGAACAAGAATTTTGCCAGCTCCTTTCAAACAAAGGAGAAGGATACATGGTCTCAGAATCTCTTAGCTAGAAGACCCTGCTGTCCAGGCCAGAGCAGGAACCACAGACATGAGACTAGGGGTTTGGGGGAGGGAATTATGTACAGCTGGAATCAGGAAATGGTTAAAAAAGAAAGCAGATGTTCTCCTTTCTGCCCATAGGCACTCCACTTCCGGTCTGCCAGAAATGGGATATTTCTGGGTTCTGAGGCAAACCTGGCTCTATATCAGCTCCTGAGTTCCAGGTGTCTAACCTCCCAGCATTTTTTCCCTATTTTCAGAACATGGCCCAAGTGGCTTACCAACTTCCCCAGGTTTCCTTCCCTTTTAAGGGGAAGGGTCAAGAATCGTGCTGGTAATGGGAGGGCAATGGGGATCCAGGCACTCCCAACTTTTCTTCTTCTTGTCTACAGGAGTTCGGTGCTGTGCCCGGGAGGTACTGGTCCCTGAGGGGCCACTTTACCGTGTGGCTGGCACAGCCATCTCTATCTCCTGCAATGTTACTGGCTACGAGGGTCCTGCCCAGCAGGACTTTGAGTGGTTCCTGTACAGGCCTGAGGCCCCAGAGGCTGCACTCGGCATTGTTAGTACCAGGGATACCCAATTCTCCTATGCTGTCTTTGGGCCCCGTGTGGCAGCTGGTGAGGTGCAGGTGCAGCGTCTGCGTGGTGATGCTGTGATGCTCAAGATCGCCCGCCTGCAGGCCCAGGACGCTGGCGTTTATGAGTGCTACACACCCTCCACTGATGCCCGCTACCTGGGCAGCTACAGCAGCAAGGTGGAACTGAGAGGTACTGGGCCCCAGGAAGGGGTGGGGCCAGCTCCCCGAAAAGGGCAGAAAGTCAGGTCTTGCAGGACCTATCTAACAGTTAGGCTTTGCAGATGAGGAACCTGAGATCCAAAGATGTTAAGTGACTTGCACAAAGTCACCCAACAAAGTTTAGTGGCTTGTCTGGGACTTTCACTCCTTCTAGTCCTATACTCTTCTTATGTCATTGAATTACTTCCTGGGAAAGGGGAAGCGTCCTTAAACTGTCTGATCCCTTCTTCATTCCCTGACAGAATCAATGGTGAATCAACTCCATTACTGGAGATTCTAGGATCCAGGTCTGGGTGAGGAGAGGAGAAAGCAGAGGTTGGGTAGGAGGAGTGAGACCATGTGACAGTCTTGTTCTCTTAAGTTTCTTTGTCTTCTGAGAAGGAAGACAGAGCCACTTTTCTGATTCTTTCAAACAGGGGTCAGTGCCAAACATAAGGGTGAGTAGGCAATGGGCTGGTTCTGATATTCAGCAAGTATTTACTGAATGCTTGTTTTGTACTCAGCACTGTGCTTGGCACCACTGGGTTACAGAAAAAAATAACATACCATAAAATCTTCGCCCTATAGGAACTCACAGTCTATTCAGGGAAGTAGATTGTATATAGGAAACAATAATGAGGGCTGTCTGCTCCCAGCCCTTCTTCACCCCAGTCGTTCTCTTCAGTTCTTCCAGATGTACTGCAGGTATCTGCAACCTCTCCAGGGCCCCGAGGCCGCCAGGCCCAGACTTCTCCCCCTCGCCTGATGGTGAATGAGGGGCAGGAGCTGGCACTGGGCTGCCTGGCTCGGACAAGCACACAGAAGCACACACATCTGGCTGTGTCCTTTGGACGAGCTGTTCCTGAGGCACCTGTGGGACAAGTGACTCTACAGGAAGTGGCGGGACTCCGGCCTGACCTGGCTGTGGAGGCTGGTGCTTCCTATGCTGAGCGGCTAGCTGCAGGGGAGCTACGACTTGGCAAGGAAGGGGCTGAGAGGTACCGCATGGTGGTGGGGGGCGTCCAGGCGGAGGATGCTGGAACCTACCACTGTACTGCTGCTGAATGGATTCAGGATCCTGATGGCACCTGGTCCCAAATAGCGGAGAAGAGGGCTGTCCTGGCCCATGTGGACGTGCAGACCCTGTGTGAGTGCAGGTGCAGGGAGCCAATATCTCAGAGGGCACCATGGACACAGATGATCATTGACTAGATGGTCATTGTCTGACTAGGGAGCTCACCTTCCTGAGAGTAAGCAGTCCTGTGAGCATCACTGCTCTCTGTACCCATGAGGGGTTTTCTCTGCTTAGAGTTGGCTGTGGAGATAGGAGGGCCATAATGGAAGGTGTGAGTCAGGCCTCTGGGTAAGGGAGAAGGTCATACCCTGTGAGGGTCAGATGATTGGCCTTGAAATTACTGCCATCAAAGGAACTACAGATGGGGAGTCAGGCACTCTGTGCTTCCTCCTGCCTTCGTGACACTCCTTTCCCTTCCTACATTTCAGCCAGCCAGCTAGCAGTGGCAGTGGGACCTGGTGAACGTCGGATTGGCCCAGGGGAACCCTTGGAACTGCTGTGCAATGTGTCAGGGACACTGCCCCCACCAGGCCATCATGCTGCGTACTCTGTGGGCTGGGAGATGGCACCTGCAGGGGCACCTGGGCCTGGCCGCCTGGTAGCCCAGTTGGACACAGAGGGTGTGGGCAGCCTGGGCCCTGGCTACGAGGGCCGACACATTGCCATGGAGAAGGTGGCATCCAGAACCTACCGGCTACGGCTGGAGGCTGCCCAGCCTGGTGACACGGGCACATACCGCTGCCTTGCCAAGGCTTATGTCCGAGGGTCTGGGGCCCGGCTTCGTGAAGCAGCCAGTGCCCGCTCCCGGCCCCTCCCCGTGCATGTGCGGGAGGAAGGTAAGAGAGGTGGGTTAGGCTTGTAGAACTCTTTTGTCATTATGCCTCTCTCTCTACATCAGTTGCCTTCATGCTTTAGTCTCACATTCCTAAGGGGACACCTTGAGTTTCCTGGGGTATTGCTTGGACAGTGGTCCTGACCAGATGCTCCCTACCCCTGACCCTTTGTCCTCTGATCCCATGGCCTTTGTTGTACAGGTGTGGTGCTGGAGGCTCTGGCGTGGCTGGCAGGAGGCACAATATACCGTGGGGAGACCGCCTCCCTGCTCTGCAACATTTCTGTGCAGGGTGGCCCCCCAGGGCTACGGCTGGCCACCAACTGGTGGGTAGAGCGACCTGAGGATGGGGAGCTGAGCTCCTCCTCTGCCCAGCTCGTCGGTGGCATGGATCAGGATGGTGTGGCAAAACTGGGGGTCAGGCCGGGAGGAGGCCCTGTCAGCGTGGAGTTGGTGGGGCCCCGAAGCCATCGGCTGAGACTACACAACTTGGGGCCCAAGGACGAAGGTGTATACCACTGTGCCCCCAGTGCCTGGGTACAGCACACTGACTACAGCTGGTACCAGGTGGGCAGTGCCCGTTCAGGGCCTGTCACAGTCTACCCCTACATGCATGGTGAGTGACCCCCACTCTCCCCTCCTCACTCACCACCTTCCTCTAGTACCACACTCTTGTTCTCCCATTCTAATCCTTCTTCTACTGTCTCCTGTTTCTCTCCACATCTTTTCACATGAAGTGTCTTATAAATACAGCTCTCAGCCCCCCAGTTCCCATCTTCTCCAGGGTCCTTGGTGGAGGTTTACTTGAATGCAGAGAGGGCAGGGAGTGGGCTGGGAGGGCTGTCTGTGACTGAGAAGGAGGTGGGCACAGACAATTTGATAGAGAAGGTGGTGGGACTTCAGTGGAACAGTATGTGAAGGGCAATGGCACCCAAGGCTGACCACAGCCATTCTCTCTCACCCAGCCCTGGACACTCTGTTCGTGCCCCTGCTGGTGGGTGCAGGGGTTGCCCTAGTCACAGGTGCCACCATCCTTAGCACCATCACTTGCTGCTTCATGAAGAGGCTGCGAAAACAGTGATCCCTTCCCCACTCCAGGTAAGAGAAAAGAACCCCTAGCCTTGCCTTTCTCAAGACCTGAGATGAGCTGCTTACTCCCTGGCCCCACCTAGAGGAGGAGCCAAGTCATAGTTCTCTGCAAGACCCTATTCACCGGGTGAGAGCTGAGAGGGAGCCCTACCCGGGCCTCTCCTTAGCCCACTCCATGCTTGCTTTCCATTTCTCACAGGTGTTGACTATCTTCCAGACCAGCTCCAAGCCCAACTCTGGTTGTGTGGATACCCTCTCCCTCTGTCTGCCCTTCCTTTAATTTATTTGATCTATCCCCACATAGCAGGGGGGTATGGCCTCCATTCCTCACTCTTTCCTTCCTGACTCCTTCCTCTGGCTTTATGATCTCCATCTCATACCCAGCCTGTAGGGAGGCCTTCCGTCTCCTAGAATTAGTTTTTCTAAAATGTGAATAAACTTGTTTTATAAAACCCAGGGTGGCTGTGATTTCCCTGCCATCAGGCTGTATGAGGCTTGGGGGTATGGTAGGGAGTTTTGCGGGTGGGGGGGGGGGTTGATAACCCACTCTGGATGACCCAGGCCTCTCTTCCCACCACAAACACCATCTGGCCTCTGTGGGCTGTACCACACACCCAGGAAGGGACACCTGGGTCCCATCTGCTGTCTTACCTGTCAGTTCCAAGCCAATTCTTGTTGGAACTCCTGTTCAGGAGGGGTGCCCTCTTCCAGCTGCTCCCAGGTTGCAGGGCACAGGCTTTCTGGGGCCAGTGCCCATTCTGAGTTCCTGGCACCACTCTGCCTTCTCGTTCTGCTGGGCCTGTTGGTCTTGGACATGACTCCTCCCACTGGCCCTGGAGCCTCAGCCTTTTTCCTCCCCATCTTCATTATTTTGTCTGACAGCAGCACAATAGAAACCCCAGAACACAGCCCTGTCTGGGTGGTGGGTACAAGAGCAGTCAAGGGGGGCCTGTGTGTCGAGAGTCCCTGCATACGCCTGCCCCCATTGGTACCATCCAGGCCTTACCTCACCCCTCTGCCTAAGGGTTCTTTAATCTTAGAATTTTTATTCCACTGTACCTTAAAAGGTACCCAGGCTACCTCATTCAATTCAGTTATTTAAACATTTATTGAGCATTACTAGTTTGCTAAGTGTTATTTTTACAGATCAGGAAACTGAGTCCCATAGAAGTGATGTGATTTACCCAGAGTAATAGAGCTAATTAGTGGTGGTGTCTGGACTAGAATCTAGGTCTAATGACTCCTTGCACTGTACCCAGTGGTGCCCTGAGAGGCAAGGGAAGGTATGGTGAGGTCTCAGCAACTTCCATCCAGCCTCAGTGTCTCTTCCCATCCAATTGCACTGGAGTGTGTAGTGCGTGTGTATGTGTATAAATATATATATATATATAGACAGCTTACTCTCTCCTGTTGAGACTCCAGCCTTTTCACTGAGTTAAATGAGTCCCCATCCTGCATCCCAACGTTTGTTCTTCAGGTGACACCAGGTTTCTGGGATGTCATCTTTGATAATGACTCACGTGACCCTGTGACTTGAGACAAAGATGTCCTCTGAGTGAACCCAAACTGACATGGGCTCCCCCTGGAATCCCCATTTCTCCTTTCAGGAGGTACAGGTCCCACTGGACCTCAGCTTCCCAACCTTGAATGGAGCAGAGTAGGGTGTTTTCTCTCAAGGGGCCCAGATTTTTATTAAAGAACAGGAGCGGGGTATAGCCAGTGTCAGAGGGTATGCCTGCTTGGGCACACACTTTTCTCCCAGGAGGCCAGCCTCAGGTCCCCTTTAACTCTGCTTCTTCTTGCCATTGCTCTCCAATCACCATCCTGGGTGGCTGTCTTTGGTGACTGGGATGACACAAGAAGGGGGTGGATGTGGGATGGGAATAGCATCTGCAGGGGCTTCTGTCCTAGCTGGGCAGACCATAGGCTACAGATACAGCCAGATGTTGGATTCCTCATCTCCCTCACATTCTCTAGCATATTTGATCCTGCCTCTGAAGTGCTACAAGGGTGCCTCCAGTATGTTCATTGTAGCATCTTTGCTGCAGATATCTTTGCTGCAAGCATTTTTGCCCCAAACTTTTTCACTGCATAATAACTGACCATAAGACAGTTTTGCTGTGGGAGAGATAAATAACTGACTGAGTTTTTTGGGAGGTGGGGGGTATTGTGTTTGTTTGGTTTCATTTCTCCATTGACAAATCAGTCACCTTCAGTGGATTTAATGTATTTAATCTAGTTGTCATTTTGATTTCATTTCTCCATTCATAAAAGTTCTTGCAGTACTCCCATTTTTACATTATATATAAATCTTAGTCTTCATTATGTGGCATACAGTGGCAAGTAGATGTGGTGCTGGTCTTAAAATAGTTAGCATTTCTTCCAGATGATGAAGATTTGCCCCAAGAGTTGGTTATGAAAGACATTACACTGGGGGAAGAGAGGCTGAGGTCTCTCTTTGAAGGTGCAGAGTTAAATCCACATTTCCCATAGAACTAAGATAAGTACTTACGTGCAACCACAAAGTAAAATCAGTGACTTGTGCAGTACTGCCATGAGTCTACACACTTTTAAAATGTGTTTGAATACTCTGTATTTCACAATAAAGCCTTTAATTTTTATGTCCTTTTAAATGTCCTTCCTTTTGATGGCGAAATTGCCTTATAGCCAATTAATTATGTGGTAAAAATGCTTGCAGCAAGGATGATACTGTGAAAGTAACTACCTACACAGGATTCTTTCTTTTGCCATTTCCTGCTGCAGATCCCCACCACCTCCCCAGGAATCCCCTCAAGGCCTCCTGACTGCCTCCTCCTATCTGAACTTCCCCAAAACTATCTCCAGTTGTCACTGTCCTATTTCCACCGATGGTTGAGTTCCTGGGCCCAGAGTTAAACTCTTCAGCCTGGCTTTCAGGGTCTCTTTTCATCACGCATAAGACTCCACCCTTTATATTTCAGTCTACATCCCAAGATTCCTCAGCTTCTCCTCAGCTACTCCTCAGCTTGTAAGCTCCATCTCCTGATATGACCTCCAGGTTTTCTATTACAGCAGAGGTTCTCCTCTCTGTAATCCCCATTCCAGCAGTGTCAGCATGACCTGGGAATTCATTAGAAATGCAAATATTTGGTCTCTACCTCAGACCTATTGGGTCAGAAACTCTGGGAGTGAAGCCAGAGTCTATTTCTACAAGCCCTTCAGGTGACTCTGATATACTACTACTCTCAAGTGTTATAGCTGCTGGTTTAGCTCATTCTCTGTGCCTTGCTCAATCCCTAGCTTCTGATTACCAAACCTTTCTACCCCTGCTCAAAGAGACTGCTCAGGTTCTCAGTTTGAAACAGTTGCCATAGGCATATTTCTATTTTTCCCATGTACACGTATTTCGAATAGGAAATGGGTCACTGACTGTTCATCTCCTATGTGCCTGGTTCAGTGTACTATACTCAATGAACACCCAATGAACGATATGAACAATCCCCTCTCATTGTACCCCAAGTCTAATTCTGCTTTCCCAAGGGCCCCTGTGTCCCAGCTCTAGTGACCTCACATTCCATCTCCCTGGCCTTCTTCCTCCTCAGAACCCCTCCCCTCCTGCATCTGCAGAGGTACATAAGAAATCTTACTACACTCTCAGAAGAGAGGTCTCCTTCACCAAAGCCCCAGGTCTGGCAGCTCCCCACTTCCTGTTTCCCTATGCAGTAGATGAGGTCATTTACATCCTCCTGAGCTATCCCTACAACCTTTCATCTGCTTGCCCAGACTGTCAGAATGGTGAGAGTGGAGCAGGGAAGGCACCTCCTTATCTCTGCCCACCTCCATCCAGCTTTCTCTCTGGGTCAGCTAGGGCTACTGTGTGAGACAGGTGTGCCATACAGAGGGAGGTTGGCTGAGAAGGTGAGTGGGGATTAGAATCCAGCTCATGCTCTGCTCCCCAAGCCACTCCCCCCCTGGTTTGGGGTGGTGTCAGTCTGGAGGAAAAGGGTACCTTTTTAGAATTTGCACAAAGATGCTCTATGGGTTAGCAGCAGCCCTGAGTGCACCACCTGTCTGTTGGTCCACTTACCTACCAGCTGTCTCTCTTATCTGCTTCCATCTACCCATCCACTCTACATAAGTCCACCCTTCTGTCTATCCATCTACCCATGAACGGATGTGGTCAAACACAGACAAGCTGGTAAGTTCATTTATCCCCACCCTCCATTCTCCTGAAATCAGGATCCCTCCCTTCCACATTGGATCCTGGACTTGAGATTCCAAGGGGACTCTCCAGCCTTAGCACATTCCCAGGGACCTCACCTACCTCCTTCTCCACCTCCAATATCCAGCTCCATAGGTACCTGTGTCTGGTCCTGCCAGAGGAGTCTGGAAGAAACTGGTCACACCTTAGACTCACTCTCTGGGGGTGGCAGGCAGCCATTCTGCTCCTTGTCAGCCCCAGCCTCTCCCCCTGCCCCTTCCCCTGCCCCCTCCTCCTCCACCTTCTCATCCAGCTGGCTGGGAATAGACCAGTAGAGATGGGCATCAAGGCGGGCTGCTGCCTCAGCCAGCTCACGGGCGCTGCATGAGGGTGTGGGCACCTCAAAAGTCTGGTGGAAGCTGGCATAGTCCACCTCGTAGAAGCCGTCCTCCAGAGTCAGCACTGATGTGAAGCGGTGGCCCCACAGCACCTCATCCACCAGGTAGGAGCTCCGAGCTTGGCATGTCATTCCTGGGGGAAGGGGCAAGGGTCAGGTGGATCCTAGCATTAGGCTTCCCTCTCTTGCCTCTCACTCCGCCACCCTATTCCCAGCACTCTTCCTTATAGTCCTTCCCAAGTGTCCCACCCCCTTTTGGTCCAGCCCACTTTCTTTCCCTTTCCAACTCTTGTACATGCTCAGGTCTCAGCTCTCATCTCTTCTCCATTTGTCCAACTGTTTTTCATCACCAACCTGCTCTCTCCCTTCCTCTCCACTGGAGTTGCCAAGCAGAGAAGCTTAACCTTAATATTTAACTTGAGGACTACCTAATCCAACTTCCCTCTTCATACAGCCCTCCCCCCACCCCACTGTAGCATTCCCAATTGTGGGCATCTGGTTTGTACTTGATTAGCTCCCAGAATTGAGAGCTCACCACCTCACAAGGTGCCCACTCCTTTGCATGATGGCTCTAATAGTTGAGCTGTTCTTTACACAGAGCTAAAATTTGCCTCCCGGGATCTCCACCTTTATGTGTCATTCCCCTGCCATATGACACCCCTTCAAGTATCTGAAAACAGGAGTCTGAAGTTTCAACATGTCTTCTCTTCTTCAGGCTGAACATCCCTGTCACCTTCCACCATTCCTCATGGGACCTGGCTTTGCAAAATTCTACTTTCTTCACTGTTAACCAGAATGGCCAAAGAGAATCCTTTAAAAACTTTGTGAAAAGCATTCCAATCGAGGCCTGATCCTTGCATAAGTGAGGGCATACCACCTCTCTTTTCTGGCCATGATGCTTTAGCAAATAGAGCCTAAGATTACATTACAGAAACATTTTGGAAGCTGTATCCTATAGCTATGACATTAAGCTTGTGGCCAACTAAAACCCCCAGTTCTTTTTCACCAGAGCTCTTCCATGCTGTGCTTACATAAGTGATTTTTTTAAAGCCTAAATGTAGACTTTTATATTTACTCCTTTTAAATGTCATCTTGTTGGATTTTGGCTCATTATACTTGCTTTTCAAAAGCGTTTTGGATCCTGATTCTCACACCCAAAATAATACCATCCCTTCCAGCTTTGCCACTCTAGAAAAATCAGACAAGCTCTCCACCCCACCCTCCTTGCCCTGGACCTGTGTCCTGTCCTCCCTGTTGGGTGGGCACACCCCTATGGCAAGTGGTTCTTCTCCTACCCCCGGAGTCTCTCCCAGCCACCTCAGTCCATGTTCACCTCAGAACAAGGGGGAACAGAAGAGTGAACATCAGCTAACCAGAGACTGGCTCTCACCATGGCAAGCCCCACACTGAGGCATCTTGGGACTACTGGCTGTATCCTTCCAGCCTTTGATAAAGGCTGGAATAAAAAGAATCCAGTTGGGGAGGAGGAGAAGAGGCAGAAGTGACCCTGGGGAAAGAGGGGCTGAGAAGAAGAGAGGGAGGGGCTGGGTACAAAGGGAGAAGAGGGCTGCACAGGGACCTCTTTATAAGGAGACAGGTTTCTTCAGTTAAGGGCAAAACAGTGAGAGCTGGAGGGATAGAGAGAAAAGGGAGTGGGGTGAGTGGGGAAGGAAAAAGCTAGGGGGAACCTGGGGATGGTTAAGAAGGGAAAGGTAACATTGAGGCAGAGGGTGGTGTGTAGAGGATCAGCTTGAAGGCCCAGGAAGAGGTTTGAGGGGGAGGCTTGTGAGAGAAGCCAGCCGAGTGCAAAAGCTCTAACAGCAAAGTAGCAGGACCTATGTGGGCCCTTGGTTGTCTACCTGCAGTTTTGTAATCCTCTCCCCATTCCTAGATCTCGAGTCCTGAAGGACCTCATTAGCTTCCCTGGCACTGGCCTTTTCCTACCTGCTTCCAAGCCCTTCACCGTGTATGCCAGAGTTGGAGATACTGACATCACAGGTGCATTGCCAGTTGCTTCTAAGAAGTGGCTAGGAATGCTGAGAGCATCCCTTTCTTTTGTCAGTAGAAGTTGAGAATCCTTTGATGGATGGGGAAACTGAGACAGAAGTCAGAGCAGGTATCAACCTCTCATTAAAGTCCAGCCTAGGAATCACTCAGGTCATGGAAAACCCTCATCACCAAATACCAGGGACCTAGAATTCTCAGAATAACAAAAAAAGGAACCTAACCCCCACTTCCAGCACAGTACCTCTAAACATTAAAGCCAGACTACCTGTGTCCTCTCCAGGCATGACCACTTACTAGTCTATGGCTGTGGACACCTTACTCAACCTTTCATTGGGGCACTCTCCTCTGAAAAACGAGCACAATAACAAGAAGTTACTTTTGAGGGGTTCTCGTTAAGATTAAATAAACTCAGAGATATAAGGTGCTTTTGAGATGTGAAAGAGAAGTGCTGGGTAAGTGAGTGGTAGCTATTATTAGTCCTCTTCTTTATTCCCAAGGACACAGACCTCTCAGCCCAGGGCCCCAAGCCAAGGCCACTTTGGGGAGTCTCTCCTAGCTTTCTCCGGCCTCTCTATGAGGCAACTCTGCTCACATGTCCACCCAACAAGGTCTGCTATCTCACCTCATTCTCTTACCCCCCACCAATCTTTTGGTCTAAACTCTCCCCTGTCCCTGGCCCCTCCCATTGCCCCTGCCCCCCTCAGTCCCACCCAGGCCTGCCACCCGGCTCTCCTCCTTCTTCCCGCACCCGTGGCTTCCACCATGCCCTCGAGGATGACCACAATCTCGAAGTCGTCTCTCTCTAGAGCACGGCGCGATGCCTCCCAGAAGGGGCTGGCAGAGTCGATCTCGTGGCTGATGACCAGCGGTGAGACGAGGAAGAGGCGGTCATCTCCTGTGTCGAAGCCCACGCTGAGGTCGGTCTGGTGCAGAGGGATGAACTCGCCCTCCAGCGTCTGGCGTGAGCGGATGAGCTTGGCACGAATGGAAGCCTCCACAATGTGCGAGGAGCGCAGGTCGCCCACGCGGAACATGAGGCAGAGGCGGCCGTCTCGCAGCGACACCACAGCGTGCGAGGAAAAGACGAGCGTGGCAGCTCGCTTGTTGGGCTGCGAGATCTTGACGAACATGCAGCCCACCATGAAGGCGTTCACCATAGAGCCCAGGATGGCCTGCAGCAGCAGCAGCACAATGCCCTCCGGGCACTGGTCTGTGATGACGCGGTGCCCGTAGCCGATGGTGGTCTCCGTCTCGATGGAGAAGAGGAAAGCAGCCACAAAACTGTTGAGGTTGTTGACGCACGGTGTCCAGGCCGCATCCTCCAGATGCTCCAGGTCGCCACGGCCGTAGGCAATGAGCCACCAGATGGCGCCGAAGAAAAGCCAGGTGAGCGCGTAGGCCAGCACAAAGAAGAGCAGGCTGAGGCGCCACTGCAGGTCTACCAGAGTGGTGAACAGGTCTGTCAGGTAACGGTAGGTCTCACGCACATTGCCCTGTTGCACGTTGCACCGCCCGTCCTTCTCCACGTAGCGCTGGCGGCCACGGCGACGGGGCGGCTCCTCAGGGCCCTGATCGAAGGCTGCATTCTCCTGAGCCATGGCTGCGGCGGAGGGTGGGGTCACCGTCAGGGTTGGAGTCAGCGCCCCCAAGTGCTCTTGGGTCCGCACCGCCGCCTCCTGCCTGCCCTCGGTGGTGTTGCGGCTCCTGCAGAGACTTAAAAATCGACCCAATGAACTGACCCATGGGAGAGGCACAGACAACCAGGCCAGCACTGAGGGGCTGGGTGGCCCTGAAAAAGGCCCTTCACGTGTCTTTGCCTCAGTGCCTGCATCAGTAGAATGAGAATAATACATACAACCCTCACTGCTCCCCCACCTCACAAGTCATGAGAATCAAATGGGAAAACGTATCTGAATTGGATAGCACTGCTCAAATTTGACAATTATTTTCAGGGGAGGTGGTACCAGAGACCTTGGCCTTACCACCTCTAACTAGGGTGTGCTGGACTCTACTGGCATCCCAGGACAAAAGGCCCAGGCATGGTGGCAATTTCCTGAAATCATTAGACTGTAGGCTCAGAGGCAGGCAGTTACTATACCTCTACTGCAGCGATTTTCAATCTTTTCCATCTCATTGCATACATAAACTAATTATTAAAATTCTGCAGCACACCAAAAATATGCATTTTTGCTGATCTTACAAAAAAGGTATAATTTTTGACTCATTCACACCAGATGGCTACTGTTGTGTTGGCTGTTGTCACTTTTTTATTTGACAGGCTAAGGGAAAAGAGGTCAGTGCCCCTGACTAAATAGTCAGGTGTTGCGTATTTTAAAAATTCATAGGACACACTGGCTGAAAATGACTGCTCTGCTCCCCTTCACTCCCAGCTATTGTCAGGGCAGCCCCTTAATCTGTGTTCTCCACAATTCAACTTGTGTTCTGAAACTCACGTCAAGACTGACACACAGAAAGTCCCAGATCCTGCCTCCATGGACCTCGCTTACTCTATCCCCACCCATATCTTCCTCCTCTCAACAAGCTTACAAAGGACAAATGGAAGTGGTGGAGAGGAAGCAAAAAATCTCCAGTGAGCAAGAGCTGAAAATTCCCACACTAGGAAAGTCCCACTGGAAACCCTCCCTGAGCACTAACCATGCTCATTGCTGCTGTAGAATCACCCAGTTTCCCTTGGGTTCTTTCCACAGTGGAGACAGCATGAAAATGGGCTAGAGGGCTGGAGGATAAGCCATCAGTCTAGATGCCCAGGGTAAAGGAAGCACAAAGTTCATCGGGAGTTAGGCTTGTATCTCTCTGCTATCCTATTTTTCATGAGATGTAATAAATCAGGTCCAGTGAAGCACTAAGCACCCACATTTACCTCCCCCTTCCCTGCAGTTCTTTCTCCCCAATATCCTATCTCCCACTGACTATCCTAACATCCCCACTCCCAAATACCCCAAAACTCACATTCCAAGAGAAACCCACCTGATTTTGCCTCAAATTCTTGCTCTGGAAGGAGCTCTCTGAGCTACAATATGCCTTGAGAGAGATCCAGGGCCCTTACCCAAGCACCCAGGGGTCCCTTGGAGATGTGGATCAGAAAAGGAAAGGTTTAGAATAAGGATTCAAGACTTTTCAACCTTTCTTTCTTCCTTGGAATCATCCTCCACAAACTCCATTTCAAGGAAACCTGAGCTGTCTAGAGTGGGGTTTGGAGGGGAAGAGTGTGACATGAGGATCACAGATAGCCTGGATGTTTGACCAGGTCCTGAGGATATGTAATCCCAAACAGAGCACTTCAGATTTAAGGTCTGGAGTGAGATACTCTGCAGTTAGACCTTTGGAGGTAGTGTGTGTGTGTGTGTGTGTGTGTGCATGCGTGTGTGCGAGTGTGCACACACATTGGGACAGGAGGAGAAACCAATGCAAGGTGTCTTAGAGTTTAGGGGCATCCCCAAATTTATTTTCCAGGAGGCGTCAGGGGACATAGGGTCTAGGAACCCCAATGCAATTGCAGATTAGGGCCTTCCCCTGCCCCAACAGTGGGCTTCCCTTTCCTGTCCTGCAGCCCAGAATGTCCTCAAGAAGTGTGTCCGAGCCCTGGCTGGCTTACAGACCTCCAAGCCATGCAAGAAAGTACATCAGTTTCACTTATCCTAGCTTCAGGTGGACTTCCAGATGTTATCTCAAGGTATTAGGTAATGTGACCCCCAATTGGCCAGCTGAGACAGACATCTTCCCCAGGGGTGGGGAATGAACCCAGAGTCTGATCACCACCAGAACTCTCTTGCTCTCCACTGTCCCAGGGATCTAGGTGAACCTTACTTTGACTGTGCCTTCCTCAGTGGTGGCTGCATTTTTCTCAGGAAAGGTGTGGAATTGTTGCTACCTCTATTCCAGGATCAAAGACTAATTTTCTGCACCTTGCCTCCAAAGAGTCTTGTTCCTTCAACCTATTCCTTGTTATTTTTTGTGCATACTGTGACTCCTTTCCAAAAGACCCCAGTGCCACATTTTCTTAGATCTCCTTTTCTCTGCCTAAGAAGTGCTTGCCAACAAGGTAGCTCATTTTTTTGGAAAGGGATCTGGTGAAAACTCCCTTAACCCAGCTCTTCCCAAACCCCACTTGCCTCAGAAATAGGGGCCCAAACCCAAGTCCCCCACAACTCAACTCACAGTGTGTGGAGAGGAGAGCAGCCGGCAGCAGCAAAGACCCCTGGGCAGAAGCATCCATGCCTCTGACACTGTCCCCACACCCCAGTCCCCTTGGAGGGTGAGAACTGCAGACGCTGCTGTTGCTCCTAAATGTAGCGGCAGCTCTGACTAGGACTTGCTATCTGTGTCATCCCCACTTCCCAGGCTCCCCTGCTCCTCTCCTGTTTCCATAGCAACCAGTCTAGCGACAGTTCTAGAGCATCCCCCTCCTGTCCCCAGTTCTGGGTACCACTAGAGGCTGATCCACATGCCATAGTTATTTTTAGCAAAGTCCCTCCTCTTGGACAACTCAGAGCTTATCTCCTCATCCCCTCAGGAAAGAGAAAGAAAGGAAGAATAAAGCTGGCATGGTTGCCTTTTCCTAGGAAGCTCCTTGCTCTGGGAAAACACAAGCCCTGATGTATTTGGGAATAAAGTGTTCAGTTTCTTGGGGACTCAAAGGACCACCTGGGAGCTAGCAGCTTATCACTTCCAAGAGGGGTCTCTGGGCGAGGGTGCTGGCCAGGCCTACTTTTGCAGTCTTCATTTTTGGAGATGCCACCCTGATCCAGAAGGAGATAGAGGGAAAAGAGACCTACCCAAAGAAGGGAAGCATGGTAAAGTGTTCTAATATTTACTACTAATTAGTGATATGACCCATAGGAATCACTTCACTTCCCTTAGCCACAGTGTTTCCATCTATCACATGTGCAAATATCCCCTTTCCACCTACTTCACAGGTGTGCAGATCAAATGAGGTAATATATAAATATAAGGTCTTTGAAGTTAATTTTGTTGATAGCAAAACTCTAGAAACAGTCCAAATGCCCAACAGAGAGAAAAGGTTAGGTTTGAGCTTACTAACTATTCATTCAGCAAATGAATGACTACCAACTGGGTGACTTTGAGCAAGTCCAAGTGTCAAGCAATGTGCTAGGTAGGGAGCGGTGACAGAAATGAATAAGTGTCTGCCCAAGAGAGCTCATGGTCCAAGTGGGGAGAAAGGCACCTAAACCCATAATACTAACACTACTGCTAATTTTTTGTTGAGCATCAGCTTGCAGTAAACACATACTTCATTTAAAAACCCTGTGAGATACCCAATGAGATAGGTATTATATTCTTCATTTACAGATGAGAAAACTAAAACTGAGAAAGGTTGAATGATTTACCAAATGTCATAGAGTATGGATAATGGCAGAGATAATAGTCAAACTCACACATCTGTGTCACCCCCTATGCTATTTTCACAAAGTTACACGGCCTCAATAATGTAATATCTGTGGCGTACCAATATAATCAGTTACTATGGTCATATACATAAATGTGCATGTAGGTACAGTTATGTGAAAAAAAAAGCATATTCCATTTAAAAAAGATTTTATTTATCTATTTCCAGACAGATGAGAAGGGAAGGAGAAAGAGAGGGAGAGAAACATCAGTGTGTGGTTGCCTTGCACGGCCCTCACTGGGGACCTGGCCCACAACCCAGGGATGTGCCCTAACCAGGAACCAAACTGGCAACTATTGGGTTTGCAGGCTGGTGCTCAATCCACTGAGCCACACCAGCCAGGGCAAAAAAAAAGCATGAAGTATTCTTATAAATTGATCATAACTGTATTGTAATAACTATAGGAACACTGAAGGGGAAAATTTTGGAGAAATGTAAATATTTCAATGTCCATTTTCTCCAGGGAAATAATGAAGAGCAGAGAGTGGTATACAAACATCAGATGTTGTTATTATCATTATTATTATTGATCTGTTTTACTCCAGATTTCTTAAAGTTGGAATAAGAAGATATGATTTAGAAGAACAGGAAGAGATAGAAATGGACACCGGAGGTTTAAAAGTTCCTGAAATGAACTGGCAAGATGGAAATATGGTACTGAATAATATAATTTCTGGAGGCAGTGACTGGGGTTCAAATCCCAATTCTGTCTACTACCAACAGGGTGACTTTGAGCAAGCTACTTAATCTCTCTAAGCAGTTTCTTCACCTAAGAAATGAAAATAACCATATTACCCATCTCCTGGGGTTGTCATGAGGATTACCGTATTTGACCGTGTATAATGCAAACTTTTTGCCCAAATTTTTGAGGGAAAAAGAAGGATGCGCATTATACATGGCTATAATGATTACATACCATGGGTATAACAATCCCATGTGTAATGTGCACAAAATGTGCTTGTGCACTATACAAGGCAAAATACAGTAACATGAGGCAATGCCTGGCACACTTTAAATATTCAGTAAATGAAGCAAACAAAATATAACCAGAGTCACTGAAATTAAGAACAATCTAACAATAGAGGGACGGGGGCAGTGGGGAGAAGGGTTTTCAGGAACTATTATAAAGGACACATGGACAAAACCAAGGGGGAGGGTGGAAGCAAGGGAGGGAGGTGGGTTTGGAGGGGGTGGGGGGCAGGGGTAGGGAGAAAATACAGACAACTGTAACTGAACAACAATAAAATAATTTTTAAAATATTCAGTAAATGCTCACTAAATCCTCCTCCTCCTCCTGGCCGTGATCCTCATCCCAGGCATCTCCTGAGATCTCCACCCAGCTTGTGCTTCCCTCCTCTGTTTTGGTGCCACCCAGTGAGACCTGCAGGGGGCACTCCTGGTACATGACCTTCCTCTACCCAGCTCTCTGCTGGTGTTTCTTGTTCAAAGTGGAAATATCAGGTTTTCAGCTGAGATTGGCATCAGGAGGGCTGTTAAAGCCGCAGTCAACATCCCCATCTCCTGGGCCTGGCCCTGTCACCTGAGCTTTGGGACTGCTAGCCTGCCCCTCTCTGTCCTGCCAAGCGACTGCTCATGTTGATTCCACTGTGCCAGGAGCTCTGAGAGAAGAAACTAAACTCCTGGGCAAGAACGTATTTGCATAGAATTGGCCCCATTTCCTGGAGGGGGACATCACGGGGCTGGCAGGGCCTTCAGGAAGGAGGATCAACCAGCCCCCTGCTTCAGTCCCCGCTGACCTGAGTCTAGCCTCACTACCATCCCTTCCTTTGATTTACTGATCCTGTAGGTCCTGGACTTTACCTGATATTTAACCTCAATTCCTGTTTATCATTGAGCTTGAACAGAGTGAGGAGGAAATTTTATTTCTTAGGTACCAGGATACAGAAAAATGGGCAAGACCCCAGCTTTCAGGTATTGTGAGATTTAAAAAAAAACCAACAACAACAACTTTACAAGGAATCAATACAATATGTCAGTACAGTTGTGATGATGGGAAATAGGTTTTGGAACTGGAGAATACTGAGGGCAGCAGGGGCACAGTTGGGGCCACACTGATGATCTACAAAGAACTTTGGTACAAACCTCTCTAGGCAGATAAATTCCTTATGTATGGCATGCAGCTTGGAGAGCAGGTGGTACTAATTATGAGGGGGATCCCTCCAGTAGACACAGTTCTGAGCCATGGTGCAAGAATTGGTAAGCTAAATGCAGTGCAGTTCTCAACCTGCCCCCTCAGCAGGTGCCTTTGTGCAGTCCACAAACCGTACAACTGTATGTGACAGTCCTGAGATCAACCAATCTGGGAAAGTTTCTTTGAGCAAGATCATGAGACTGAGCTTGGGTAAAAGCTCAGAGGTGGGGGAGAAAGCATGATGGGGAAAACAGGAGATGGTTGAGGATATGAGTTGAATGGAGCAGGGAGGCTGACATAGTAGATTATAAAAATATCTGTAAGTTCACAGGAGATGAGACCCTAGAAAACTCTGAGCAGAGGGAGGATATGGTTGAAATACTGAATGTGGCTGGGTTTAGAGTGATATGGGAGAAGCACAGGACAACCCCAGGATAGGTAGAGAGAGCCCCACTGGGCTCCTGAGGCTGAGGTGCTTGCCCGCTTTTTGGCTGTTTTCAGCAGAACTAGAGGATAAGAAGACTTCTCATACATAAGACTATCTTGCTTTGTACGATTAGGTGGAGGTAGATCAGGATTTAAAAGTCATGGCATTGGGGGGGGGTTCTAAAATTGTTCTCACTTTGCAGGTAAGGGATGGGTTCTAGGAGAGCAGACAGGACTCAGACTCAAACCTCTCAGGTCCTATTCCTTAATTTCTTCATTTCCTGTTGCGTTCTTCCTACCTTGGTGCACTAGGTGTTAATGGAATTTTATATATTGGACTTAATTGGAAAGTTACTAGAGGAATCACATAGTTGAAGAAAGTTTGGAAAGAATCCTTTAGTAATATGATTAAGTATGTCTTAATTTATCTTATAAATGTGAATTTGTAGAGATTACATTTATTGAAAGAAGGTGGTATACTGAAATAATGATCTTTAGTGACTATGGGGATATAGCTCAGGCCCTCTTGAATTTCTCCTCAGTGGTCTGAATCATCCAGCTATGAGGTGCCCCACTACCCATGGGAATTGTTCAGCTTTGTGGGGCCTGAACACTAAAATGTCCCTTGGAATTCTGTAGTGAACATTGTCACTCTTTTCAGCCAACTCCTCTGTGAACTATTGCCTATTCTGAGCCTCATCATACCTCCTGATCTAAAGCTTTCATCATCCCTTCTGTCCATACCTGTTTTTCCCAGCAGAAGTCCTTTATACTGCTGCCCACTCATAGATTCTCCTTCTAGAACAGATTTCTTACCCCTATCCCATCATGAATAAAGTGAAAGAATAGATAAAGCCAAAGTTGGAAGGAGTAAATCTGATAGGAGCAATCAAAAATAAGAAAGGCACGACTTTCTAAACTGAAAGAAGCGAGGTCCTCAAAGAAAGGTGGTTCCCTAACTGTCATTTTGTATGGTGGACACTGGACATCACAATCCTGGTAAATTTTTCATACCAGCATGTACTCATGTTTAGAATGAAGATTATATTTAAAACATGTAGATTCACTCTATATTACCAAGACAAACACACGTGGATTCAAGTTCCAAATTTCACACTTTCTAGCTATGTTACCATAGACAAGCCAGTTACATTTCTGAAGCTCAGCTTTCCTATCTCAAGTAATATATCTATCTTACATAATAAACACAAATACAAATTTTCTAAAGTCTTTATCATTGATTTTCTATTGGGATCCCAGTAACTATTCTTTGATTTCTCTTGTAGAAAGAGAAAGTTAATAACTATTAAAAGTTAATAACTATCATTGGATACGTATAAAGGAGAATATATGATAGATATATGTACACATGTTAACATAATTTAAGAACAAAAACTATATTTTTAAAAAGATTTTATTTATTAATTTTTAGAAAGTGGGGAAGGGAAGGGAGAAGGAGAGGGAGAGAAACATCAACGTGTGGTTGCCTTTTGCATGCCTCTCACTGAGGACCTGGCTTGCAACCCAGGCATGTGCCCTATACAGGGAATTGAACTGGAGATCCCCTGGTTTTTAGGCTGGCACTCAATCCACTGAGCCACACCAGCCAGGGGCAAAAACTCAATTTATATCACTCTTTCTAAATTAGAAAATCATGGAGCCATTCAAGCTTATCTGTGTACTTTTATGCTATCTCGCACCCCTTCTGTTGTAGAATATCTAAACTCTTTTAAAAATATATTTTATTTATTAGTTTTTAGAGAGAGGGGGGAAGTGAGAGAAACACTGATTGATTGCTTCTCATACATGCCCTGCCTGGGGACCAAATCCGAAATGTAGGCACCCCAGGCATGTGCCTTGACTGGGAACTGAACATGCAACCTTTTGCTTTGCAGGACAATGCTCAATTAACTAAGCCACACCAGTCAGGACCACCTAAACTCTTCCTAATTGCCTGGTCCCATCCTAACCCTGAGTTTTAGCAAATTACATTTCTGCCCTACAGAAAAAGTAAAGGCATTTGAAATTAATTTCTCCAGAGAATTCTCTTTCACCTCAGATTATCTTTTTCTGGAAGACAAACAACCCAATTAAAAAATGGGCAAAGGACCTGAACAGACACTTCTCCAAGGAGGATGTACAGAGGGCCCAGAGACATATGAAAAGATGCCCAGCATCACTAGTCATCAGAGAGATGCAAATTAAAACCACCATGAGACACCACTTTACACCAATCAGAATGGCCATCATAAACAAAGCAACAAACAACAAGTGCTGGAAAGGTTGTGGAGAAAAGGGAACCCTAGTACACTATTGGTGGGAATGCAGACTGGGGCAACCACTGTGGAAAACGGTATGGAATTTCCTCAAAAAACTAAAAATGGATCTGTCTTTTGACCCAGCAATTCCACTGCTGGGATTATACCCTAAGAATCCTGAAACACTAATCCAAAAGAATCTATGCACCTCAATGTTCATAGCAACACAATTTATAATAGCCAAGTGCTGGAAGCAGCTTAGGTGCCATCAGTAAATGAATGGATTAAAAAACTATGGTACATTTACACAATGGAATACTGCACAGCAGAAAGAAAGGAGCCCCTACCCTTTTCAGCAACATGGACGGAACTGGAGAGCATTATGCTAACTAAGTGAAGTAAGCCAGGCAGTAAGGGACAAATACCACATGATCTGACCTAGTCAACAAAACAAACAAGTAAGCAAAATATAACCAGGAACATTGAAATTAAAAACAAACTGACAGTAATCAGTGCAGAGGGGAAGGAATGGGAGAAAGAAGGGAAAGGGTCATCAAAAAACATGTATAAAGGACCCATGGATAAACCATGGGGGGTAGGATTGAGGGTAGGAGGTGGAAGTGGGTAGGGTGGGGGAAAGTGGTGGTGGGAAAATGGAGACAACTGTATTTGAACATTAATTTAAAAATGATAAAAAATGATCTCTTTCTGCTCCTTCTCTTTGATTCTTTCTTCCCTCCCCTCTCAGAGGAGTACCCTATGTCAAGCTAAGGAGTTTGCAAAGCAAGGGACATTTGGGGTTTTGATACAATGGTACAGGGACTGACATGGTGAATACAGGTTGCCTCTTCTTCTGAGACTTCCTTTATGAAGGGTGGGTCAGGGTCATGGGCTACCAGTGATCTTCCAGATGCTGGTAGTAATCTTGGTGAGAAGTGATGGTGTCCTGGATCACAGCCATGATGATAGATAGAAGGAGTAGGACTTAGGTGTTTTAGAAAGTACATGTGTTGATTACAGAAGGTAAATAAGGTGAGGAAGAATGGAGAATCTAGGATTGCTGCCACATTTCCCCCTGATTCAAACTATTTTGCTTGCCTCCTGACTAATTTTTCTATAATTCATCTATGGCTTCCCCAACTCTACCACCCCCAACACCCTGCAATTGCTCTCTATTGTTTTCAGAAGCTCAGAGTTGACCATGAACTGGCACAGCTCTATACTTACCTTGGGTCTTTCTCCAACACATTCTGCCTACGTTGCCTGACCTGTAGCCCAGTACCCCCCTTCCAGCCTTAGGTTCTATTTGAAATGCACATTTATCCATCATATGACTTTTAGAGGTTGCACTAAGCTAAAATTTGAAGTTTCTTTTTTCAAGATATACATCAACTCAATATGGTAATACTGATTACTGATTAGTAGTTAAATGTTCATGATGAATAGAAATGGGGCAATAGTTATTTTCTTCCTTTTTTTATGGAAGAACTCACTTTTTAAATTTTATTTTTTTAAAGATATTTATTTATTTATTTGTTTTTAGAGAGGGAAGGGAGGGAGATAGAGATAGATAGATAGAGAGAGAAGAGAGAAACACCAATGTGCGGTTGCTGGGGGTCATGGCCTGCAACCCAGACACGTACCCTGACTGGGAATTGAACCTGCGACACTTTGGTTTGCAGCCCGCGCTCAATCCACTGAGCTACGCCAGCCAGGGCTTATTTTCTTCCTTTTAATAAACACCAAGAGTGGAGGTAGATTGAGAATAAAAACCTCTTAAAACATGAATTCGGCAGGGGGGTTGGGTGGAAAAAGTGAAAACAAATAATGGAACTGATAGACACAGACAACAGTAGAGTGATTACTAGAGGAAACGCAGGTGAGGGCAGATATAAGAGGGTAAATGGGGATAAATGGTGATGGAAAGAGACGACTTTTGGTGGTGAACACACATACAATTTATAGCTGATGTACTATAGAACTGTGCAATTAAAACCTATATAATTTTATTAACCAATGTCACCCCAATAAATTAAATAAGAATTTTTTTAAAAAACCATGAATTCAGATGATGAGAGAAGTTGTTGGTGATGTAAAGGCTGAGAACCACTACCCTGTCCTCTCGTCCAATGGACCAGTTGCTGCATTACCCTAAGCAGACTTGTATTTTCATGTCCCCCCAGGATTTTGTGAATGCAGTTCCCTCTGCCTTAAGTACCTTCGTCGTCATCTCCCAGTATCTGAGACTTCCGCATTCTTTAGATGTCACCTGGGTCCTCCCACATCTGCTAGAACCCCCCTAAGTAGAACGATCTTTCACTTTCTGCCACCTCCAGCGCCCTATCTCTCTTTCCAGAACCAGATGTTGCAGGTGGAGATGGTGTTTTGCGCATCTCGCATCTAGGACTTCGCCCAGTGCTTAGGGAACAATGAACACAAGGAAATTGTGCTTAAAGACAGAATCCTGTAGACCCAGTTGTGCAGCCCCTGTTTACCCCATTGGGCTGCCTTGAATTCATTTCCACCTCATTAACTCCGCCCAGGCCCGTCCCCTTCGGCCCCCCTCGGTTCCCCACTCTGTCAAGATCTCCTCCTTCCTTCTCTCTTCCCTGTCATCTTGCCAGCGTAGCTTCTATCGCTTCGCGGATCTTCTCTTCTCTCTTCCCACCGCCCCCCCGCCCCCCGCCCCCCGGCAGCCTGTCTGGTTTCCAGTCTTCTGAGGTTGAGCTCTGCCCTGCATCTCCCTCAGTCTGAGCTCCACACCCTCGCTCCTTTCGCCCCGCCCTCTTCCCCGAGACCCTCCAATTCCCGAGGCGCGGGCCTGGCGCTCCACGCTCCCATTGGCTGGTCCCCAGCCTCCCGCCCCGCCCTCCCGGCCCCACTCTGAGCCCTCCATTCACACAAAGTTTGGCTCCGGAGCTGTGAAGGGAGGGGGCGGCCCGGCCCGGCCCGGCCCAGCTCTGCCCCCAGCGGGCCCGACCCCGGCCCCGGCCGGACCAGCCCTTATCTGATCCCAGCTTCGGTTTAAGAGTTCCGGCCCTGCGCGTCGCACAGCTTCTTCCTCACTCCTGTCCTCCCCGTCCATCTGTCAGTCCCGCTGCCCATCCGAAGGGCCACTCCACCAGGACCCAAGGTAAGCCCCTGGCCCTAATGAGGGAGGGAGTGCTGCTGCCCGGCCGGGGTCCTGTCTTCCTTACTCTACAGGGAGATCGGGGCCCCAAGCCCCGCGGTCTCTACCCCGGCTGGTCTCAGCGGGATGGCTCTCTTCCTCAGCCTCCCACGTTAGGCAGCCCCACACTGACCCTCCTGGAAAGGGCTCCCAGAAGGTAAGCCAAGTTGGTTACCTCAGCACTTTAGGCTAAGGGAAGGGCTTTCCTCATGCTCCTTCCTACTGGGCAGCCCTACACTTGCATCACGGCTTCTCCAACAAATACAGTGACCACCACCTGTAATCATGCACCCCCGCACTGGCACTCCAGACAGCGCCCCCTCTTCTCAGGATCATCAGGTTACTCCCACTCCCATGCCCAGCCCTTGCCCCCTCCCTATATAGTGACACTCACATAGTGACACCCGCTGGCCACTAGTTCACACATGTAAAGAAAAGCACAACTTGAACTAGGGATCCTCAGTAACCTGGTGTGCTTGGGGCTCCTGCCCACCCAGTCTCTTCCCTCCATTCCTACTTGCCTTCCACTTCAAGATACCCCTCTTTATTACTACTCCACTCCCCAAGCTGTTTCACACTAAGATCCCCAGGAGGAAAGCAGCAGGGCCACTCCAGCTAGAGGAAGAAGGGCAGATTGTACTCTAACAGTCACCTTCAGATGGAGATGACCTTCCCTTTCCATCCCTTCTACCCTCAGGAACTAACCAAGGGCACCTATGTAAGGAAAGAAATGAAAGAACTTCCTGATTTGGGGGACAGGGAGGAGAGCTGAACCCTGGGGTGGATAGAAGGACAAAGCTGGGCAAAAGTGGGATTAGGGCCTCTCTTATCTTGAGATTTCATTCTTGTTAATGAAGTACCACAGGCAGACTGAGGGAGATGGTGAAGTGGGATTGCTGAGGACGCTAGTATGAATTTGGACCCAAAGAAGGCCAAGGCTTAAAGACTGATTATGTTGCTCATCAATATAAATTCTGGCTAAAGATTTTTGGATGGTCTGCCTTGATTGTAGGGTTTGAATTTTTCCCCCCACCGGGATTGCTTTTAGGCAGTTCTGGACAGGAGGGAGATCATGATGTGAGATTTGGTGCCCTTCTGTGAGGAATGCCCATTGCTTAAGTGTGCTGAGGAGGGCCTGGAGTGGGTGTCAAGACCAGCCTGAGGAGGGACCAGCAGCCACCACTGAATTCCCTTGAGTTTCATCCCAAAACCCTTTTTCTGATCTCCAAAGATTTCTAAACATGTTTCTGGCATGATGGAGGCCACCATCCTGCGATGAGGAGTAGGGCTTTTTAATTCCTAAGAGTATAGGCAGGGTATGAGGGACCAAGCAGAAGGAAGCAGGTGTCCTGGCTCATAGCTGGTTTTTCATGGAAGAGGAAATGAAGAAGGAGGGGGAGGGAAGGCGCTACCCCAGGGAGAAGGGCCAGAGCTGGTCTGTAGAGGCAATAGGCATGGCCCAGGCAGTGCCAACTCCTCCCTGTGCTCCACACCCCCCCCCCTCACTGGGCCCAGTTCTTTGGTGGTGGTGGTGAGGGAAGGAGAGAGGGGATGTGTGTGGGGGGTAATCTGGGCCAGTCCAGCCTCCCAAAGCTCTTGCCAACCTGGGTCCTGAAAGGAGCTGCTGTTTTCTGACCCATCCCCCAGCCCCCACCCAGAGCAGCCAACTTGTCTCAGTGGATATCAAATGGCAATGACTACTGAGTGGAGGAGGGAGGCAGGGTTATGGTTCCATTCCTTCTGTGGTTCTAATGCACAATCCACTGCTGCCCCTACCCTGAGGAAAAACTCTATCTCCTCAACATCACCCCCACATCCAGTCTATTGACACATGTGATTTGTTGTCTGCCCTTTGGCATCCTCCATCTTGTCCCTGTGCCCCAGTGAATAGCACCTGCTACCTTCTATACACGAGCTCATTTATAGCTCCAGCCTGGTTGGATTGGGCTACAAGGAAAAAGCCTGGCAGAAGACCCAGAGGCTTCCTTCCCTTGCTGTCCCTAAGGACTAGAGAGGCTGGGACATGGATCTGAGTGGGCTCAGAAGAAGTCCCCTGTGGTCATTCTGGAAGTCGTGGGATATGGGGTTTAGGGCTCTGGGGGGTGAATCATGCAGGAACTCCCCACTTCCTCTGAGGAAAAAGGCTTTCTGGGTCTCCTAGCAAAATGTGAACAATATGGAAGATAGGCTGAGCCCCCTGGTGGGGAGGGAAAGAGACATTGGGCAATGGCACTCCTCAACTCTCCCGCCAAGGGTTATTTAGGACAGAAGAAAAAAACTCCACTCTCCCTCCCTTCCCTGGCCTAGATTCTTCTCTTGCCTGACTGGTCAGTGTTACTGTCCAGTCTGAGGCCAAGCTGTCCAGGACAGTGGTGAGGCCCTGGGAGGAGGTAGAAAGAAGGGATCATACGACACACACCACTGAGATGAAACAGTAGGAAGATTGGAATCCAAGTGTTTTAAAAGCACCCAATGAAAGGTGGCTGGCTTGGGCAGCTGTTGAGAATCAGAGCTTTCTGAGTTTAACATATCACCCCACTCTACCACAGGCTAAAATTCATTAATCTGAGTTTAATATATGTATTGCCATCATTCTTCATGGAGACAGTGCACTAAGTGTCCCCTCTTCATCCCCTCCCCCCATCAGAACCTTGAAAGGGCAAAGAGAAAGGGATTGTGGGAAAAACTCTCCCGTGGGTGTCTGCCAGCCTGGAGCTTGATTTGAGGTGGTGGGGAGGTGGGAGGGGCTGGCTCTGGAATGTGGGAGACAAGTAAAAACTGAACTATGTGCCTTGCAGAAAGAGGTTCAAGAAGCCCGGACACTGAGAGACCTGAATTAATACCTTAGGCCTCTAAAAAGGTAAAACATAGAAAGGGCCTTCTGCTTCTCTTCCAATGGCAGAGGATCTGGGAATGGAGTGAGGCTGCAGTTGGATGAACTTAGGTTAGATTTCAAAAACCACTTCTCACAAAAGGAAAGAAATCTAAAATAAGGATTGGGAAAGAAAGGGAGACCACCTTCTAGACAAAAACAAAAACAAAAATCCCAGAACAAAAAAGCCCATTGTGTAGACTTCTGAGGGGAGCTGTGAAGCTCAGATAAGTGCAGGGATTATTGTGGCAACTATCGAGACCTCTCCAGAATGGCTGTTCCATGCCACAGTGTTCTCCCTGAGTCCTTTCTGCTCTGGTATTGCCTGAGAAGCAGTAGACATAGTGGTTAAGAGTATAACCTTGGAGTCAGACTTCCTGGGTTTAAATCCTGGTTTCACCAGCTACACAAGTCTCCTCATCCTTACAATGGGGCTAATAATAGTTGTGGACTGAAAGAGTCAATATTTGTAAAGGGCTTGGAATGGTGCTTAGCCTGGAGAAAGTGCTCTGACTCTTTCTGACTCTGTCATCTTTCCTGGCTCCTGCACCTTGCCCTAGCTCTTCACTGTGGTTTATCTGAGGTCCTAGCTCACCATCCACCCACTGTTCTAGAGTTTGGGAAGGTGGGAGAATTATCATGTAGTTTAAGATGAGTTTCCTATCTTTATTCCAACAGGCTGACCAGCACCGGGGCCTGGGTCTCCATACTTATAGCCCCTTCCTCCCAAAGTTTTCACCAAGCAGATGTCTTGCCTCAACTTGGATTCAATAACTGAGCTGTTGAACTTCTTCCCTTAGATCACAGGTGGCTAACATAAGGGCCAAAGGTTGAATCTGGCCCTCCACCTTGTTTTATCTGTCCTGGCACCTCCTTTCTACCAGGCAGCAGTGCTGAGCTCCTTGCCCCTAGTTAAGGAGTAGTTACATTTATACAGTCCTAAAATTGCATTTGGCCCTTTGAAGGTAACTGCAAGGCTAATGTGGGCCCCAGTGAAAATGAGTTTGACACTTCTGTGGCTTAGATTGTCTCTTTCCCCATTCTGCATAACTTCTCTCTTTCAGCTTCTCTCTATCCTGCCTTTCACCTCTTCCCCTCAATGACCCTGCCTGTTCCTCTCCTTGCTTAGGTTCCCCCAACCCCACACACTTTCTCTCAGGTGTATGTACCCTCCCCTTGTGTTAGCTTGTCCATCTCATCAGCCAGGATGCCCACATAATGACCCCCCTAACTTTAGCCTGTCCCTTTCCTTGATTCCCTTTCTACCACAGAATTGTCCCTGAAATTGTCACCATGAAGAATCAGTTTTATCTTGCTCCTTTCCTGCCTATATATCCCTGTTGATTTTCAGATGAAAACTCCCAATCATAGTCTTCAAGATATTTTTTCGTAAGTGTTCCCCTTATCCCCCCAGCACCCCCATTTTTGGGGACTGCTCTAGTCAGATCTTGTTCCAGGGGAATATATTCAATGGCAGTTCTGAGCCACACTCTTTCTCCCACTCTTGGCCTTCACACAGGCTATTCCTAGTCCTACCCTCCCTGCCAATCTCCATTCCTCTGTTTGCCTATCTGCTCTGTCATCTTGTACCCCCTTCTCCTCAGCATCCTGATTGTCCCTTGTCCCTTGTGTCTGTAACTTTGCCCAGGATGCTCAAAGCAGTGGTGATGTTGGAGGGGACATCCTATCTGCCTCACTACACAGGGGCTCCTCTAGGGTTAGGCCTCTGCCCATGTCAGACTGCGGACTCCCTGAAGCAAAGTAATCTTTCTCTGTACTAGACCCTTGGCTCCAGAGTTCCTGCTGACCAACTTGGCTCTACCTAGGAAACCTTTCTGACTATTGATCCAGGGGAGGGGAGGACCTTGCTTTAGATGCTATGAGTGTCCTGGAGTACGGTATATGTAAGATCTCATTACCCAACTCTTAAGAGACTCAAGAGAAATCCCTCTCCTAGCAATCACCCTATCCTATAGAGATAAAATCACCTGAAGATTAAAAGCAGCATACCCTAGAACCCCTAATTTTCATCTTTACCCCTGATGCTAGTCCCAACCATGAGACCACAACACATACCTCCTTCCTGTATCTA